CTGCACATTTGGGAGTAAGTCCTATTGGATTTAATGGCATTTGCTTCCATGTATTGGTTTGTTATGAAGAACAATAGGAAAAGTATACACTCATTACTGTTTCCATCACTGGGAAATGAAACTAGTTAGCAGAGTATACAGCTGAGGGTCTTTGTGCTCAAAGATTTTCAGAATCTAGTTGCCCAAGACATTTTTTCTCCTGGTATCATTACTGTCTCCCCATATTACCATATTTCAGCATAGCAAAGCAGGCACTGAGCATGTAGAAAGCAAGCCTTTCACACAACAGGTAATTTTGTCCCTACCGAAGAACTTTGCTTTGTATAGAGCCTGCACACACGGTGCTGCCTCTTTGCTCTGTCCCTGGAAATCTTTAACAGCCCAATCCTATGTAACTTTTTCACTTGTTCACATGTATATATCACATGGTCCAATGAGGGTTACTTCCAAGCAACTGTGCAAAGAGTAAAAGAACAAACCAATGCATATTTATACAGAAAAAAATCCTACAACTGGGGAATGCTGGGAGTTGTAGGACGTTTTTCTGATGCTTATACAAGTTTCACAACAGAAAGACATAGATTCTCGTAGCTTTTTGGCAGTATAAATTATAAACAGTAGATTTAGATTTCTCATTTACATCTTATATGCAAGAAAAGCAATGTAGAGAGATATTAGTACTGGATGCTTAAACATCAGTGTACTTTTAAAAAACAATGCAAAGTTGAGGTTCCCCAGCAAAATGTATTCAGCGGGAAACAAACCAGGAGGAAAAAGTTAGGGGTTTCAGTTACTATTAACATATTACTGAACAAGTAAGACACATTTAATTTTCCATGTGAACAGATCCGAACCAAAAGTGGTTCTTATTAAGGAATATTTTTGTGCTACCTGACCATAATCATGATTCCTCAGAGGTAAATTTCACTGTGTTCATCTGGGCTTACTCCTAAGTAAATGAGCTCAGGTTCACACCCTTCCTATAGTATCATGTGTGCATGATGGAGGAATGATTGCTAACCCCATGTAAAGGCACACTTAAATATTTCTGTACTGGATAGCAGCTTGAATTTCCATTTCTCTTGAAATAGTCCAGTAGTTATTTAGAGAACCCCAGCTGCCTTCCCAGCACAAAGCAATAGAAAACCTTTTACTTTCGGAAAGCGAGAGGCCTTCACCCGCAATGCCTGGCAACTATCAGGGCCTCTGCAATCTAACTAATCTCCAAAGCACTTTTCAAACAAAAAAGGAGAGCAGAGACTTTTCTTAGAGCACGAGTCAACATTTTTCCCACTGAAACCAGATCTTGCTGTCCTCCCCACAGTGAGCTTCTGAACCCGCTGCTATAGTGCCCCTGCCTCTTGTCTAATCCAAAAAAGGCAGGAAATCCTGACTTAGTGCCGTAATGGCCAGAATGTCTATGATTCACCCCAACGGCAAAACCATCAAAAATAATTGTCTAAAGGACATGCCATTCCCAGATGCTGCTGGCTTCTCAGAAGACCTGAAATCTGTCTGCTCTATGCCCATGGGCATTTGACCAAAACCAATGGCATTCCTTTTAAAAAGCACCGCACAGTAGGATTTCTTCTTCTGTTTTCCCATTGCGGCTTTCACATCTGGCAGCAGGGCACTAAAATGCAGCTCTGGAGTGCTTCCACTGAGGCTTTGTGGGTGTTGCAGGCAAGGAACAGTACTATTAGGAACTGTGTAAAGTGCTTCCAATGTTTTCAGTCATTAAAGCTTTCCTTCAAGCATAGTACTTTGAAAGCAGTGGCTCTCCTGATAATGCAATCCTATACACATTTATTTGAAGGAAGGACCCATTGAAGTCAGTGGGGCTTACTTCTGAGTCTGTATGCTTAGGATCTCTTTACCAGTTAACAAAGAGGTGATCCTCAAATTATTTATGAAACCAATAAAATTACTCCCACTTAAAGTTTCAAGAGGAAATTGCATCTCTCTATAGAATAGTAAAGGGACAAAATCAGTTATTTAGCTTAATTAATAACTTGAGCCAAAGATTTCTTTA